CAAGTTTATGTCTAATTTCCAATTAAGTTCCGGGTCCGGTCCAGTCCAGTAAATTCATGTTCGTCCAGTTCCATATTTAACCGATTCCAGTTATACCGATTAAAGTCCAAATATCATGTCAAGTCCAGTAGAGCATCTTAACATATTAAACAGTTATTTTATCAATCTGAGCATAGTACTTAGTAATTGTTTATATTATATTTCAGTTTGATCAAGCTACAAATATTAGCACTGCCTTTTTATTTCAACGGATCAGGTGGGGACTCAGACTGGGTATTACATTGATTATAATTACTCTACCATGTTTGAGGTATGTATTATCAGTATCCGTTCGGAATGGTCACCCGTCCATTCTGGGTTCTAGTGGCCTTAGTCTGCCCACTAGAGTGTGCACATGGTGTCCGACATTTTTATGCTGGCAGATGTTCAAGTATCAGTCAGGTGATGATTATCACGATATCTGTATCAGATCATGCTTATTTAGTATCGGTTTCAGTTCAGTTCAGTTATATATGCCAGGATCATGATATTGTAATTATGTTCATTGTTTACTTCAGTATGGGTTCCTACGGAGCACAGTGGATTTAGTGCTCACGCCCCACGTTATTCATGTTTTTCAGGTCACAGGGTCGGAGCCGAGGAGTGAGCTGGCGGTCGGTTCAGGATTTTGGTTATATGTTTAAAAATGTTTTGGTCACACTATGTTTTCCGCTGATTACGACTGTTTGCCAAATTTAGTTTTGATCCGATTTTCAGTCGGTTACTATGTTATGATAAATCGTTTTTCTTTAAAACTAAAATAACGGTTTTTCAGGTAAAGTCATGTATTATGATAGCACTCCGAAACACGATTTCGCAAACTAATCAGTATTTTATTTAAAAAGGTTTTGCAGAAAAACGCACTCTGATTTTCATGAAATAGCGGGGTGTTACATAAAATAATTTAGAAAGAGACCTCACATTTTTTAGGAATAATATATAATATTTTAGATAATCTTACACATGTTGTATAATAATTTAGTGCTTTTATTATTTTAAGCATACATGTTTAATGCTAATTTAAACAATATAAAAAATTATAAAAATATTAGTGAATATTATTTAGGTAATCAAGTATAATCGATATTAAAATAATAAACTAACAACTCATTTGTACAACTGCCGTATAAATTATTATATTATAAATAGACGGTTTTGCTATGAAGTCAGAGCCAACCTTCTACATATAACAAGTAAGCCATATCATATTAATAAAATTATTAGTGTTATTGAGTAATCAAAGAAGGTTGGCTCCACTATGGAGCCAACGGTTGGTTATATAGCAAAATCGTATAAATAGATCCATCTTAAACTTCCATTTAAATTCCAACAGCACCAGCTCCTTCTGATTTTGGGGTTCTATTTAACAGTCAATGTCAGTCTTTTTGTATAAAAAATATAGAAATATTAATGAATAGTATTTAACTAATCAAGTATAGTTGATGTTAAAATAACAGCTCATTTGTCTGACTGCCTAAGTAAATTATCATATTATAAAAAGATCCATTTTAGGATTCCATTTAAGTTCCAAAGCACCAGTTACTTCTAAGCTTAGGGTTAAATTTAGGATCATGGCCAATCTTTATGTGCGTTGGCTATTATTAAGGAATTCGGTTCTTAACCACAACCAATTATATGTTGTTATTTTACGTGTAAGTAATAGATAAGAGTTGTGCATTGACATGTTCTTAAAAAAATTGATTTCTGATCACGATCAATTATATGTTGTTGTTACACGTGTAAGTAATAGATAAAGAAGAGTTTGTACGTTGGCATATTCTTACAAAAATCGATTTTTAGTCACGAACAATTATGTTGTTTGTTTCGTGTATAAGTAATAGAAAAGGGTTGAAAATATTAGTTTGTAGGGATGACGAGTTGCTCAGTTATTAAACAAATAATGTTGTATATAAGAAATTTTTAATAATATACTTTTTTCATGAGGAACATTTTATGGTTTGACAATTTCTCTACGAATTAGCACTCTTTTATTTATTAATATATTTCAATAACTAATATTTTTCCAAATAAATACAGCTCGTGCATCGCACGGGTTCCATAATAATATTAACAAAAAAAAAATAAAATTATAAACCGTATGGACGGACTGTGCTTAAGTTTCTAGTCTCAACTTTAGAAATTAACTAAACGGGGTTAAGGGGCGAAGGCAACACGCCTAGGGACTGAAATTAGAATATCATACAATTACAAGGATCGGATGGCGCAATTTATGCAACCCTCTGAAAAATCAAAAATCTGAAGCGCATATACAAATACAGAGAGCAGAGTTTCGCGGTTATTACCCCCAAATTCATTCTTTCTCCACCTCTCTCTCTCTCTCTCTCTCTCTCTCTCTAACACTCACCTCTATCTCTCTCTAAACGGTCTGGCACTTTCTCAACCAAACATCGTAATCTCGCACCCGCCGTTGGGTAATCTGCGAATTACGAATTTCAAATCTGGAGCTGTTTGCAATGCCGGTGAACTGAATTTGTTGGGAAGGTAAAGAAAAAAGATACCTTATTTTTCTTAAATAAAGCTCCTTTGGATTCCTAAATTTCTTTTTTAACGATTTGAATTTTAGCTCTTAGATAGCTGCAATTTAAATTTTGCTTTTTTTTTCGATTTCTTTCTTTTTTTCTTCCTCTCCTTGTTTCATCTGGTGGTTATTTTCTCTTTCAATTTGGTATCCTTGATCAATGGCGTCATACGCTACTCCTTTTCTAACCTTTTCATTTTATTTTCACTAGGAAACAAAAACGACGAAGTCTAATATTTTTTTGGCGTTTTGTTTGCTTTTCGTTTGAATTTACGTTTTCGTTATGAGGCTAATTAAATTAGGCCAGTAAATTGTAGATCTTGTGCGATTGTAATTCAGCTACAAAATTGTCAAGTTGTTGATTTGTGTATTAGAAGTATTTTGAGTTTAAAATTGACGAGCTCTTTATACCTTCGTTGTGCTAATTAACTATGGGTGTGTGTGTGTGTGTGTGTGTGTGT